TTTGGGGTGCTAGGGGGGGTGCATGGTTGGAAAATGGAAATGGTCATTACTAACTGATTCGCCCAGGACACATCTGAGCACATGCCAGGTGAGATCTGAAAGGCTAAGTTTTTCGTCTTTGTCTCTAGGGCGTTGTGCTGGCAGACCCGCGTGCTTCAGCCTGCTACTCAGCCCTGCACAGGCATAGTGCGCAGGCCGTTTGCGCCCTCAACTAATTGCTTGCAAGTCGCGAACTATGCAAACGGTGAGGCCCTTCGCTTGAGCGACGCAAAACGGAGGAATGCTGCCTTCAGTCGGGAGCACATCGAGAACTGCACATGAAAACTGCAGGTGAGAACATGTGTTCCGTGCCGTTGCCGCCCACACCGGGACCCAGGAACAGCATCGAAGCACCCTCAGCCTGATCGACATGAGTTCACAACATCTGTCTGCCTTCGCTGGCACTGCGAAAGTTACGTCATCCTGACGTCTGTAACGAAAGTACGACTTCGCAGACGGAAATACCAAAGACTCACCTCATGGCTTCCACGACAAGATTGTCTTGCAAACCTGTCGCTCGCGATCTATGGTACATGAGTGCTGGAGTCCTAGAGCTGCCCACAGACATCACAGCAGACAAACATGCCTGTTTCTGTCACATCTCTCGCCTATGCCAAAACCTCTCAAATCTGCAACAGCATCAGTTGTTGAAGAACATTTCGTCCCTCATTACCCGACGTCTTCGTGAGCTCTGCATGCAAGCTGGCGGATGACAAGTACGGTATCAAGTGTTCCTCTCTGCCATGTCACGAAGGCGATGGGAATAGATCGGACGTCTCGAGGACACGGTTGCCATGACTCGAGCGCCCTTGTTCACCGCTTGCATTGGTGTGGTGAGCTAAGCCGATGATTGAACACAGGCCTAGGGAGCCCGTCTAAATGCCCGCCTTCCCACATGTTATGGATCGAAGGACCCAGTGCGCTCAAGTATTTCCTTGCCACAGTCATGGTCCGAAAGGATTGGGGGAAGGCGTAGAACCGCAGGAACCGAGCTGAGTTAAAATGAGGAGCGACGCAGCAGACTTGGAAAACTGCGTCTCATGCCCCGTCGATCTTCACAGGGTAGCTTCCCAGAAGAGCCGTCTCATGCATAGTTCCATCTAATGGGCTTTCTCTTCAGTCTAAGAGCCAGCTCAAGCCTGTGCCAAGCTCAGGATCGACGGTTCGCGACGATCGTCGTCCCTGCTACCCGTTGAGTCCTGCGTGCTTGTCCTCTCGGGCTGCTCTGCTTGGACTCGGGAAGCCGGAGGAGATATCACCACGCGACACATCTTCAGCTGCCGTAGGCGTGGCACAGCGGGGGGTTCCAAGCCCAAGGCTGCAGTAAGCTTCGACGGCCTGTCCATGGCAAGCCCTTCCCTGACGGCGGCTCCCCCAAAACTTCGTCTTGAGACTTGGCTTCAGAAGGCGGCCGGCACAAGGTGACATGCACCCCCGAGAATCCTCAAGAAACAAGGACCGGCAACAGGCAACAGGCTGCTAGAGAGAGGTGCTGCAGTCGTAGGGTCGTCCCTTTGCCCTTCGACGTCCTGAATCTTCAAACCGGTTTGGGGCCTTGCAGGCTGCCAGGATTCCTGCTTTTACATCACCAGAAGGCTGTGTCACCTTGCCAGGGCGGGCGAGAAACATGGGCTCTCGTCCGCAGGCGTGCTTGTGGTGTTGAGGTACATACACACGCATGTACATGCAGGCAAAAATGCATGCAAACAGACAGGCTTGCGGACAGACAGACATACCTCGAACCGACCATCTTCACACGCACAAATACATAAGTACATACGTTCAAACTTTTGCCAGTTACCAGTAGTGTTGCTGCTACTCTTACCATTGCAACTTCTAGTGCTTTCTTACGACACTACTACATTGCTCGTTATTTCTGCTACGACTATTACTACTTTTACTCGCTATTTCATCCTGCCGGTGCCGCTCAGGCTTGATGCCTGATCCGTGCACCTGCCTACAGCGGGTCAAGCTGCTGGAAGGGTCGTGAAAATGGTAAGAAAGAGTCTGTCAAGGTGACAATAGCCTGCATGCTCGTGGATGCTCGTGGATGCCACTGCCTTGTAGTCAACGGAAATCTCCTTCCCAAGTTTCTGCATCTCTTCTTCCGCTGCTTCCTGGAAGAGGGACAGAGCTTTAGAGCACAATCCCTTCCACAGCCCTTTCCCACAGGTCTGAATCTTCTCCACAACCGGTGCCTTGATCTGTGCCTGCATGTTCGTGCCTGCCCTGGAAGGCAGATTCGCAAGTGCCGCGAAGGTCTCCTGCCACCAGGAGCAGCAAGATCCTTCTACTATACTATACTATACTATACTATACTATACTATAATATAATATACTATACTATACTATAATATGATATAATATATTATGATATAACTTCTCCTGCACCCTAAGGCCCTGCGGTATACAAGCGAGCTCTTGCTCCAAAGCCTCCGTGGCATCCCCGGGGTCGTTCATGGAAGACAACATCATCTCAGGGACGAGCTTGGGGATGTTCAGCGCCACAATCTGCATGCGACAACTTCGGGTGTCTGCTGGTCAGTTGTCAGTGCATCCTCCGTCGTGCGTGACACTCAGGTGACTCAGCCCCGGAAACATCTTTCCAAGCTGTTCGTCTTATCTCGTTCATAGTCTTGTCCGACTCTCGTGTCACGTTCCGAGCCTAAGAGGTAGAAACTCAGAGCGTCGGCAGAGCTGACTCACCCTTGCGCCTTGTCACCAGGCTGCGCGATATCGATGGCCTTACGCATGGCCTGCTTGGCACCCTGGATATCCTGTGCGGCACAGGGATAGAGTCGATTCGCGCAGCACCTTCTTGTCCCTTTTAGCTGCGCCTTGATGCTGATCCCCACCATCATCTTGGTGGATCGAGCGATCCTTCCCAAACAGGTCATCTCCAGACTGCAAGTGCGGACGCAGCCTCCCTAGATGCCGGTCCTAGAGGCAAACATCCTCACCAAACTATCACAGACGGTCTGATCCTACTCTGTCTAAACTCTACATCTGGACTCTGAGCCCAAAGCGGACTCGGCATTTGCTGACGAGGAACAGCACAACGGAAGCTTATGTAAACCACAGAAGTCAGATCGAAGTCATGGCAATGGCTTTTTCGGACGGGATGGTGAGTGCCGACGACCCAAGTCAACTGTACATGACTGGCAGGCAGATTCCAGGCTGCATGCATCTCTAGGGTTCCCTATGCTGCCGACACAAAATGCTTGGCCTTCCAGTGTGCCATGCTCTAAATTCCAAAAATGTCAACCAGCAGGCTTCTCAATGTGCTGGCATGGTTGGGCAGGCATGGGGCATCCGACTAGCAGACTAGCATCCGGGTGATGCCAGAAAAACTGACCACCTGATGCAGATTGCTGGATTCACCACGCAGTCTAGGATCATCCACATACAGAGTCCTCCGCTTCAGGCAAGCTTGATCCACTAAGCTCAACTGCGAGCACCGTCCAGGCAATCCGACAGGAAGAGCTGAATGTCAGGAACCCGCCGAAGCATCTGCATCGCCGAAATACATCCTAGGTCCAACTCTGATCCACATCGGGTAAGCTACATTCGTACACATTCGAAGACCAGAATAAAAGCTGACGGATGTGCTGCCGAAGTTTCGATGGGGCATATGTCATGGACTCGAAAAAGCCCGCTTCACTCCGCTTGGACTTCGGCGGAAGTGATGGCAGCGCTTTCGGGAAAGTCTTCCCACCTTGTCCACCAGCTCCATCTTCACCACTACTGCCTGCACAAGTCTGGCGCGTGCGCTCGCGGATGCATGTTGGCCCCAAACAACCAAGAAAAAGACTGCTTCTTCAGACTGCACCAAAGCAACTGTCTGGCAATTCTGGCCTTCTGCGATTGGCGGCAAGCCCATTCTGGTGTCCTGCATCCAATCGTGGGCCAAAGCATCCTCAGCTTTTTGGGCGGCCGAAGGTCGCATCTTCACAATGTGGATGCTTCTTCAGGTCGTTAACCACCAGGCAACCGCAATGCAGTACAGCTATTTACCAGCATGTTCTTTGCTGTGCTTGTTGCGCCTGTTGTCATGAAATGTCCTTGGGCGTATGTGAGCCTTACAGGCAACCAAGCATCGGCTGTTGTCAAGCGTGTGATGGGGTTCTTGTCCAGCAGGCCCTGCATGAGTGACACCATCAACTAAAGCCAGACACTGCTCCAAATCCAAATCTCAGCCCTGAGCCCTGAATCAGTGCACCTCCAGGAACTGCTTGGCAACATCCGAGGTGTTACGCCAGGTGTGGGACTCGAAGGACAACGGGTTCGTGCCTGAATAGCTGGCATCCGCGTGCATGTGTGATGCATACAAACATACATATACAAACACATTCGGACAGACCGACGGCCTCCCATTACTTCACCCACCCAATCGTGCGGAACCTGTTCCGGAGCTTCTTATTCATGAGGGAGGGGCAGCGGCAGGGGGTTCTTCATCAAAACCCCACATCACACGGTTTCTCAAGCAGATCGGAACTTTGGTGAGAGCCCAAGTTCCGAAACACGAATGCCAAAACCTTCGATTTTTTGGTACACTATGGTAGGGCACCGGTGTCACAAGGCCGCAGAACCAGTCCTGCGACCGGACTGTGTCCGGAACGTGCTTGCTGCTTGCGCAACCACACGACAACGAGTGTGCCAACCCGACCAGTCTGCGTCTTGCGCGAGGGCGCGTATCATCGAATCAGAGACGTTCACGGTGGACAAGTGGCGGAGGCTAGTTAGTTCATTCTAAGAGATTGAAACTTTACCTAGAAGTTTATTTCCAGAGTTTAAACCGTAGCTAGCTAACTCGCCAGGCCAGGGTTTGTTTTGTTGAAAGAAACTATCTAGTTTGCTTTGGTAGAGTTTACTTCTCCAGAGGGCGGGGGGTGGGGGGGGAAACTAACTAACTCGCTTGGCCGGGGTTTGTTTCTTCGAGTAAAAACTAACTCGCCTGGGCAGAGTTTGTTTCTCTGGAAAACGACAAACGTTTGCGGGTCATCTTTGTTTTGGTCTTGAAGACCAAGGTTTGGCGGGGAGGGGAAAACAAACTAACTCCGAAACTCTGGCCCGACGAGTTGTTTCGGCGGGCACAAATAAACTCCGACCAGGTGAGTTTGTTTTAGCGGTGAAAAAACAAACTCCGATGGTAGAAGTTTGTTTGTTTCAGTGACGCCACGAGGAGTGGCTTGGGCGTCGGGGGGTGTAGGGGGGTTTGTTTCTCGTACGAAAAAACAAAATCTGGTGGGAGGGGTTTGTTTTTCCTACGGAAAACAAACTCTGAGGGAAGGGACGGGGAGTGTAGTTGGGTTTGTTTCTCCAACGAAAAACAAACTCCGGGGGGGGGGGTGGGTTGTTTTTCCTATGGAAAACAAACTCTGAGGGGAGGGACGAGGAGGTAGGGGGGTTTGTTTCTCCTACGAAATAAACAAACTCTGGGGGGAGGGGTTTGTTTTTCCTACGGAAAACAAAACCTGAGGGACGGGACCCCTACAACAGGTTTGTTTTCAGTGTCTAAACGAACCTGCGCCTACCCGGGACTCCGAAAGTTTGTTTTCGTGTGTCTAAACTAAATAAACCCTATAAAAGGTTTGTTTTCGATGTCTAAACTGACTTGCGTCTGCCCTATTTGTCACGGTGAAGGTGAGGATCACCTTCGTGCTCACGCACGGTTTTGGGAATCTTGATCGAGTACCGTCGTTTCATGGTGTGCAATGGTCTTGAAAGGGGACCGTTTAAGATTGTCCCATGTTACCTGGAATCCCAAAACAGAATCTGAAAACCCTTGCCATGAAAGAAGCAGCAATAGCCGAGGCTCGGATTGCAACCTTTGGTTGCTTGGACTCCATTAGCATGAACGGCACCTCGAGACCTGCACAAACATCAGCTAAAAAGCAGTAAACGCGTAACGTTGGTGGCACACACCTTCCAACGTGTCGCATTCCTCTTCACGACTTGAGCTCCGCGCTGGTGACGATGTAGGACACCACCCCAACGCCCCATACCTTGGCAAGACTTTGGGCATGTTTTCAGACCCCGCGAGCTTGCAGTCCCGTGCCAAGGTGCATCAGACGGCGGCCCCGTGTTTCCGTCCCAGACTTCCTCATCTGCCCACCACCGGCAACTCTTTGCGAACTAGGCAGCAGCTACGAAAAAGTGCAAAAGTGCAACTGAGAGACCGGTGCCATATAACACCCGGTGCCACAGCGCTTTATTCTCAAGAGAGTTTTCGCCGTCCTGGGAGTGTCTCTAGGCAGCGCCTGGGCCCTGGGAGGGTCTAGATTCCCATTATTATTATTATTATGATTATTATTGTTATTATTATTATTGTTATTATTAGTATTATTGATGATTATTCAGTATTAGAAGATTTTTATTCACTATTATTAGCTATAGAGAAAAAGCTCCCTGTTAGCTCGCTGCTCCGCTCGGCTCTCAAGGGGTTTAGGAGTTTAGGGGTTATTAGGGTTTAGGGGGATTCTCAAATCGGCGGTTTGAGTCAGAATCGTCACACGAAGTCTTAACGCCGCCAGGCTTCTCGTCTGTGACAGGTGCCTTCAAGACCCAGGCAAGCCCCAGGTCGAAAAGCCTCCGTCTTTTGGGCGAAACGTTGCTTCCAACTTTGACGCTTCTGTGTTTGCTTCCCGCGGTCTCCCCGCGCTCCCTCCGTGCAGATGAGCCACTTCAGCTCTGGCAGCGGCTGTCCAGCAATGGGAGGCTTGATGAAGCCGAAGTTTTCCGGCTTGATGTCCCCTCGAGGCTCGCCCATGGGGCCATCGGGGATTTCAAGACAGGTCCGACCCGCTAGCTTCGGGTGTATTCGGTTCAACATGAAATCCGAAAACTAGAGACAAGCTAGCAAGGCACATCACAGCTGCAGGTGAAGAATTCTCTGCGGCCCGGGCTGTGGAGTGCACCGATGGTTCGGTGTAAAAAATGCACAGCCTGCGCGGTGTTAGTCAGGCACCCTAAATCGTCTGAAATCTGAAACCAACCCACTTGCACTTGCTCTTGTAGACTCCAGTTGTGTCAGGAACTTCTCATCGCATAGTCCGGCACTGTAACGGGCTTGGCCTTGACCATTTGCCTCAGCTTCTGCGACTCTCTCAACTCGAGTGTGCCGCCAACACCGGCTTGTTGGGAATGGGCCCAAGGCTCGATTGTCTATATATTATATTATATATTATATATTATATATTATATATTATATATTATATATTGTATATTGTATATTGTATATTGTATATTATATACTATATATTATCTAATATTAGGACCGGGTCCGGTTGTCCACATCTAAATGGTAGGCTCCACACGTAACGAGCTTTCACGGCTCGCTCCAAAGAAGGATCTAACTTTGATCTGCCTATCTCGACGCATCCTCCGAGCCCGCGGGCGCACTATGAAATCTTTGTTTCTCGTAACTTGCATGCGTTTTGCGGCGACATGTTTGAGTGAAGTCTGTGGGCAAAATACTGTGAACAAAACCTTGGCCGGACGCAACCGTGTTCGTGAATGAAAGGTTGTGGACAACGCTTTGTGGACAAAGGCCGGCAGACAAAGTCTTGCGGACGCAATTTTGTTGACTAGGTGAGGTGGGAAAAACTTCGGGGACAACGCTTGTAGACCATCTTGAAAGCCCCTTGGCTCGTTTTCACGTACATAAACATCAAGTAGACGTCGCTCGATCCATACGCCAGCAACAAGTTCCACAACCTCGTTGTCGGGATTCCTTGTGAAGTCAAGAGGACTGTTTCTCCGCGATCCTTGTCACTGCAAAACCACCCATTCGATATCTTGGAAGTCATGCAAGAAAAGTCTGCTGATGTCTGCTGGGTCCGAAAGCTGGAAGAAGATTTTTCCGGTCGCTCCGACGGTCAAGAAAGTCAAGAGCTTCGGTAGAGTCATTGTGAAATCACTCCGGCAGGGAGCAAGCTCCCGCTGGTGCGTAGAAGACATGCCATGTCGAAACACATTTTCAGCGACCTTATGGTTACATGTATCTCGCGCTGCTGTACTTCCGCATTTTTTGTCTGTCCTTCTTTCGGGATTCTTGGCTTTGTCACTGAACCCATGCTTTAGAGTCCTTCTGGAGACTACACAGCGGTTGAAAATGCTTGTGTTCCAGTTGTTTTTTCCGATTGCTGCAACATACTGATTCGCAAAAGAAGAGGTATCGATTTTGTGCAGACAGGGTCCAGCCGCTGCAGATGCAGTGTCAGCGAAGCTGGCTGGCAAGCAAGTCTTCATAACAGTGTACTCTGGTCCTTTGCTATAGGGATGCTGCACGTGCAAACGCTTAAAAGTCTCGATTCCTCGGCACACGAAAGCTCTTCAGAAGATTACACGACATTTGTGCATTGTGCTGTCCTAGGGACCTGCAGCACCCTCTCGCCTGTTTTAGGGCCTTAATCTGAGTAGCTCCACGACCACCGGCTTCTTGAGCCCGTGATGTGTGTGGACATGGCAGTTCTTGCAAGCCCACAGTTTGGATGTGCTTTGCCGACCGCCGTTTAGGTGGCTGCGATCTGCAGCAAACCATGAACCGAATCTTTTGCCAGCTTCAGGTGCCAAGGTGCTTGACCAGCCCCGCAGCGACACTCTCTTCAAGCTTGGCAGACCGCTGTGCTAGGAAGTCGAACAGATCTGGACCTGGCAAGCGGAAAGGAAACATGTCGAAACCCTAAGTGCAAAAGAGCACGGCACAAAACAAAAGCTCCGTGGCTATCAAGTGCGTGGCTTCAGCAAAGCTCAGAACCGCACCCTCAAGCAGCTCCATGACCTTTACCGATACAGTGTGTGATCACGTGCAGCGTCATGCAAGCAGAAGCTTAGGTATGCAAGTGTGCATGAATCGTTTGCACGTGGAGCAGCCACGAACATCGAACATTCCTGAAGAGTGCTTTTTGACATTCTGCGGGACATGAGTCTCAGGAGTCCTGCCTGGTACAAAGCCTGCTGTGGATGCACGAAACCCGCGATGAAGCCAAGAATGCCTTGCAGACTGGACTTCTGACGATTGCGTGGCTTGTCTCGGAGATCATGGTCCGAGCATCCAGTCCGACAATCTGAGACCGGTACCGTTGGCGAGTGGCTCGCTGCCAGTCATGCAACGGATGTACTCGAGATGGCGATCAGGCGAAACAGCCAGGAGGCTGTATGCAACCTGAACCCAGGCATGCTGTGCGCTCGCTCGGGGAATTATGCCATCGCATGCCATCGCTCTCGGCACGTCGTGACGTCTCTTTTTCCAGCCCCGCCAGACGTTTTGGGCTTGCGGCTCAGAAGACTTGCGGGCGAAGGCATTGCCAGAACTGCGCATAGTGCTTCCTGCGAAACACGACTGCTTTGCAGGCAAGCTAGCTTTGTTGTTGTCTGTTGCCTTCTGCAGCCTGGGTACCGAGCAGCTTCCACGGTCGCAACGTGACTCATGGCGGCCGGCTGCGAATTTCTGTCGTCCGAACCAACATTGAAGCCTGTGCTTTCAGGACGCGACGACCAATGGCGTGGGGTTTTGTGGGGGACATCGAGCTCGCGGCGCCTGGGAGTTGCGACTTCTGAGGCGGCTCTTCTCCGAGAAGGGCACGGGTGCATGCTGCCATGGACTCGCCTAAGAGAGCTGAGCGGGTCCCAGAATGTCTCAGACTGAGTGCGGCTCACAACTGGCTGCAGCGGGGAGCCACAGCTCCAAAGCGCTACTGTAGGTCAAGGAGCTGTTGCTCTCCACATTGTAGCCGCCCTCCTGGGCCAAGACCACTCTGCCGTCGGCAAGTCCTCGGAAAGCTGCGCAAGTCAGGATTACGTAGATAGCAAAAGTGCCAGGCCGAAAAGCACAAACCGCAAACCATGGCCAGGCGTCCCATGAGCCTCTTGGTTATCTCGTAGAACCCGCTGGGTGTCACAATGCATCCACCTTGAAAAGACGTCACGAGTCGGGAGACGGTGTGTGAGTCGAATGTCGTAGAATATTGTGCGGCTACTGTATGTGCTGTCTGTTAACCGATCTGACCGCACCGGATTTCCCTTTCTCCAGTAAAGTCATGCTTTGACGATCATGCTTTGCATGGAAAAACTCCTTATCGTGTCTCAGGCTCTTCGATTGCTGTATCTTACCAGATCACATCCGCACCGAACGTTTCATGACCTCCGTTGCAACGAAAAACGTCGTCTTGTCTCTCCGGCAAGGCCGGCTGCCTTACCTACTATAAGCCGCCAGGCCGGCCTTTCCTTGGGCTGCTGAAGGTCTGAACGCTACACAGCTGTGCTGGGAGATCAACGGCAACCTTTTGGGCCTCCCGCTGCCTTTAGCAGCTCATCATGTCATTAGTCCTGGATTGAAACTCCCATCGAATCCCGACGCTCTGGGTGCTCCAGCCAAGGGGATCTCCGGGAGCGGCATCAAAGCCGGCGGAGATGAGGACCAGGTCGGGTGCGAAGGCTTCGGCGATCCTCAAGACGGCGAAGAGCAAAATGGTGCAACTTGGATCGAAGTCTTAAACTAAACGTTATTGCCTTAGTGAGCGCTGAAGCTCGGCAGGAAGAGGCGATCAAAGGCGTAGAGGAACTCAGCATCCCCGGGGGGTGTCTTGCTCTTCTCCACCTCCCAAGGGACGTTCACGGTATAGCCCTCGCCTGTCAGAAAACAGGCTTCACAATTCACATGCCACGTGCGCCTTTTGTCCGCCCGCACCTTCGCCTACGCCGTGGCTGGTGAAGTTGCCGAGAGGCCCCGTTGGGTAGTACTTGCCGCGATCATACCGGTGCACGGAGCAGAAGAGAACCTCGGAGTCTGACGCAGAGGCAAAACTCCAATTTCCATCCCCCATCTTCATGGGACATCTTTCATCCCGATGCAGGCTGCAGAGAAGTGGCGGATTCGTCTTCCTCGAACATCTTGTGGGTCCCATTCCCATGGTGGACATCGAAGTCTACGATGAGCGTCTTGGAGGACAATCCTGGAAGCTTTGTCTTCAGAAATGCCCTGCTTTCAGAATCTGCAATGCAGGTCCTCGTTGCCTTGCCATGGCAGCAGCCAGCCCTACATTGCCAAAGAGGCAGAAACCACGTGCAGCATCGCTCTCTGCATGGTGGCCTCGAGCGAGGACTTGGCTCTCGCTGACTCATGAAGTGAAGCGACAAAGCTATGAGGATGTGCCCTAAACCCTAAACCCTATGAGGATCTATGAGGAGTCCTGGTGGTCGCACCACGCAGACAGCGCTTTGCACTTTCCCAGCGCAGACCTCCTCCGTGGCGCTGAGCACGCTGCCGGCGGCAAGCATGGCGGCCTGCGAAGGGACTTAGTCATTTTGTCTTGAAGCACTGGAGGCATGTCACATGCGTTTTCGCATTGCTATCACCACACAGTACGGCCAAGCCTGGCATTGCACCAGTGCGCTGGTTATTCCCAAGCTAAAGCAAGCACGACCTAGTCGCTGCAATGCGAGCGGGCTGCTTCCAAAGAGTCTGGGCACAAGAAGATGCTGTCGTACTTCTGACCTGGCTACGCGAAAGTAGACCTACTCTGGCCGTGCCAAACGCTGCCCAAAGATGTATGTACCACAGAGCTATGGTAAGCTCGCCGCTGAGCTCAACCGTCTCCTTGCATTGCTACGAGACTGTGTACTGATCTAGCACTCCCCCTGTCGTGACGCCATCTGGTTGCATGCAAAGCTCCTTCTCTGACATGTTCGCTATCTGGAACATTGCATCCACATGCTCAGGGGTGTGCTTGAGCTCCAACTCCTCTCTGGCTGCCTTCCTTAAGTCAACTGTTTCGTGAGCAATCAAAGTGGGCCCGAGGCAGTACATCTGCAGGAAGTCTAAACCGCCACAAGCTCGCGATAGCAAACATATTTTGAAAATGCCCGAAGACCTTGCATCCAGTCGGACACACCGCTGCGTCAGCCCCTCCCGCTCCAAGTATTCGAAGACCTTGAGGATACGAGCTGGCTGCTCTGGATGTGATGGGTCCTGGGCGGAAAGCTATCATGTCCTCGTGGCAGGTTGTGTAATGAGCGAGCAGACGTGGCAACCAATGATTGAACAAATCAGTTGTTGGGACGGCTGTTGCCAGCATTTTCTCATCAACTTGTTGCGATGCTGGTTGATGGCCCGCACGTCCTCGAGGTTTCGATGCTGCGCCATCCGCTCATCGAAAATCAGGCCGACGACGTTATCATTGGCGCTCTTCTCCCCCCCAAAGTCTCAGCACAGTAAGCGCCGCGCAAGATGAGGATCGAGTCGAGAGGTGCATCAACTGAGACGCAGGCCAAAGAAGCGCCGCTGCACTCTCGCGGTGCCAGGCCGCAACGAGCGCAATTTCGGAGGTCCTGGGGGCCGCAGCTGCAAGCAACCAAACATACTCAAAACGTGGAGGTGAGCTCTCAGAGACAAGCTGCGCAGCTTGCAGGCTCCAGCCAGTCCCACGGCTAGTAGCAAGAACTTCTTGCTGGCATGCTCATAAGGGACTGCTCCCAAGCAAGAGCCTGAAACGCAAGTGGCAAGGAAACAATCAGCGGCATCAAGATGACTGGCGACACAGAACAGTCCATTTGCCTGATGCAGTCCGGCACAAACAGGCACGCGCGGCAGGCCCAGTCGAAGGAAGCAGCGGCACCACGAAGTCCATGGGGTGAATCCGGACGCATGGACTGTCGTATGATACAGAAATCTGGTCGATATCGCTGTCGGAGACATGACTAAAGAAACGATATATGCCTGGGTCATGTAACTTGCAAGGCTACTTCTCAACAAGTTGGCGTGTCTGAGCGTGATCGAAGCGTAACGAAAGCCTGGGAGCCTGGGACATGGCACAGAGAGATGCAGTCGATGAGACTTCTATCCTGCTGCAGTCAAGGGACTTCCTCGGCAAAGCCACCCTTGCTGGGCTTTCGAGTCATCTTGATCGCCTTAAGAATGCGGAATTGCGCGTCAGAATGTGAAATGTATGCGACGGAGTCTGGTTGGAATCAAGACGCATAGTACTTGTTCGGCCGCAGCTCCGGAACCTCGGTGCAAATCCCATCTTGCGACTGCCTTAGTCCAGTCCTTGCGAGTTTTCCACGGAGCCGAGTCACAAGCTTGTGGCCAGCGGGAGTAGGTCTTCCTTTAAAGACCGTTCCAAAGCCGCCTTCGCCTAGTGTACCTTCAAAGCCTTAGAGGACTCTGCAATCTCAACGCACGCAGCAAGATGTCGCGCAACTGTGCCAGGTCTTGAAGCCATGTGGCTGAGAAATTCGCTGACATGACCTCATCGTCACGATCATTGACGAAAGCTCAGCCCGATTCCCCGCAGCCTTTCAAAGGGTCTTCTGAGTGGTCATGCTCTAAGGTCGGAGCGAGGCGGGATCAGCAGGAAAAGCTTCTCCGGGTTGATCTGCCGGTACTTTGTGGATACTCGTCGATGACTCGATGACTAGACAACTGAAAGTCCGGCTGGATATCCCGCCTCTCGCATCCGCGAGCGGAGGCGCATCACCGCCTCATCGCCGCCGTCTTGGGCTTGGACTTGAAGGAACCTCCGTGGCAGAACCCGGGAAACTAGGAGCCCAAGACTCGACCTCGTGCGCTACATCTTGTTGACTCTCAGGTTTTAAGATGTTCAATGGCTCTCGCCCTCGATTTTACCACCAGCCTCAGCTTGCGGCAACACCAACTGCAGGGCCCTCGACTTTCAGCTTGAAGCACAGGCATCGCGTCACAGGCCCAAGCAGTGCTACCCCTTCGAGGTCCACGCTTCTTCCAAGCTCTAGGAATCTGCTCGCGGATGGGCCAGGAAAGCTGGAAGAAGCCACTCTGAGGTGTCAGTAAGATCAATTGCGCTTTTGGGGACGGGGTTCGGCTTGCTGCCGCAAATCTTGCTAAAGTGAGCCAAAGCTGCGGCATCACGGCTCGACTTGAACCTGGACGGCATTGCAGTGCGGACATTGCCGCCACAACCAAGCTGTTGACGCAGCCTTCCCGTCAAGCAATCATGACATAAAACGCGGAAGGAAATGTTGGAGATCCTAGCTTTGGAACCTCCCACGGATCTCGCATCATTGGCGAGATCCGAATAATCCGAAACGAGTGTCGACAGTGACCTAACTAGCTGGTGGACGTGTTGGCAGCCATGGGCCGTATGGCACCTTCAGGGACACATTTCAGCCACACTAACATTGCCGGAGCCTCGGCGTCTTCCGGATTCCCTTCATGTGCAAATCCTTGTGCACCCGCCAAATTCAATGCACCATGCACCCCATCTGTGATTACTTCAACCCTAAACCCTAAACTAAACCCCAAACCAAGGTAAGTCAAGGCCCAACGACATCCTCCAGCTACTTCTCACCCAGAAGACGCCTTGTCGTCGCAGCCACCAGGGCCCTCCACGTCGCATTTTGCGCAATCCGGATCCGAGCAAGGCCGACAAACCCAGGACTCCTTGCACAGCAGAGACATATACATTATGTTATAGTATATCATGTTATATTACAGTATATTATATTATATTATATTATATTATATCACATAACATTATACTATATTATATTAGATTATTGCTTCTCCTACTCGATCCACTTTGCCACTTGCGGGCTCTCCTCTCTCGTGTCCCAAGTCCGCTTGGGCAACAAAATTGCCTCGGAACTGAACTGTCATGGCTATGTTTGCTAGAGAACACGTGAAATCACGTGAGACGTGCCGAAAGCATGCAGCAGATTGCAGCAGAAGGGGACTGCAGCGCTACTGGCACTTTCAGTTGCAGGCACGTTGCTGTCCAGGCCTGTCTACAAGAGATGCGATGACTAAAGTATGACCCGAGCAGCAATGCGTTTGCCTTTGCTCAATCAATGCCCGCTCTCACCTACTCTATCTGTCAGCCCCGGAATCAAGAATGCAAGCACGACAGGACGCGCCTTCGCACAGCTGTGCTTGTCACAAGATCCAGGTCCAGAGACAGTGCAGCTCAAGCACTTGTCCGCACAAGCATGACACGCACCATTCACCAGAACGAAGCCAGCATCGCCTCAGCAAGTATCGTCTCTCGTAAAACTTGCGACGCTTCGATCGGTGCATGTGGCCACAGTGCCAGGAAGAGACATTTCTCGCAGGCTGTCGCCACCTTGCACTCAACGCAGCCAGGTCCGCACACAGCACACAGTCCAGATGGCGTGATGCCAAAATCCTGCACAGCCCGGCAACACAAAAGGCATCGCCAACACAGCTTAAATTCTGAAATAGTTTTGCGGAAGAGCCGTGCTGTCTGTCTCACTAGCTTCCACCACATGAAATATCGGAGGTCCTCCTGGCAGCTATCACCTCGCCACGAGAAGCTTTGCAACACTGCCGAAAAACCCATGCTGCTTAAGGTCCCCGGCTCTGCTTTGTAGCTTGCGGACTCACTCCTACAATTCTCCCTCCGGGACAAGCCTACCGTTGTTTGGTGCTTTCGGCGATATGTTCTGGGCTGATATTCTTCCAAGCCATGCGCCAACCAAAGCTGGACTCAATTAATTTTTTGGCTGGCTCTTTCTCTGGCGCGCTCTCTGTCGTTGTGGGCCCAGAGGCGAAGGCCTCTCTACCTTCCGCCGTTGGCCAAAGAACGATAAAATTCCAGTCATGTCAAAGCGTGTGGCCATTGAAATCACCAAGCACTGACGATTACGCTTCGCGCACGCTTCTCGGAGCACCAAGACCGGGCAAAATGGTGGCTCGAGCCTGGGTCAGCTTCACGTCCAGATACGTCCAGTCCCGGGCACTTCCATATGATATGTCACACTTGTGAAGGAAACCGTGCTGACTGGGGGACTATCAGCCTGCGCTGTTAACGAGATGCGCAACGAAGCCTTGCAGCGAAAGGCGGTTGAATTTGTGCGACTGCTGGATGGTGGCCGGACCGTTACCCTGTGGAAACTCCAATCCAAGTGATCGCGAAGCAGAAGGCTCGAGCACTGGTGGAGCCAGATTGCAGTCAAAATCTAGTGTGCCTTGGATGGGCCCTGGCTCGTCCGAGTCTGCTGCTGCTGCTGCTGCTGCTGCTGCTGCTGGTGCAGCTCTGTTGATACTCCTGCTGCTACTGAGGAACCGTACATACGATGCAGCGCTTCAACTCTGACCGAACTCTTGAGCGTTCGTTCCTGTCTATGAGCTTTAGCTGCAAGCAAGCCACAGGAATACTCGGAGTTGTCACACACGCTGCAGTGCTGCACCCGGCACGGCTTGCAAATCGAACGAGGGCTCCAGAGCGATTTTTGCCTCCGCAACATCACTTATGTGAATCAAGTCGGGCTCGAATTTCAGTAAGAGGCCTATGTTGAGCACACAGCACCTAACTGCCTGGGGCCAAGGTACCAGCCCTGAAGTCCGTATCCAGATTGACAGCCTCCCTCGTCGCAGCCATCTCCCTGGCTGTGGGCGGCCAGAGTGTAGCTGGTGAAAAACGCGGAGAAGACTAAACAATGAAGCGAACCTCTGCAGAGTGCCACGGATTTAGCGTCCGAAAGTGCGCAAGCTTGTAAAAAATCTTGGACGGACAAGTGATGAAAGGCCTTGCGAACGTGGCATTGCATGCAGAAATCGCCACATGGCTTGCAGTGTCCATCTGCTTGCTTTGCATAGCCGTCCTGCACTTGCACGCTGCGAGCACTCAAAGCCCAAACTGAAGGTCAAGGCCTTGACCACGTGACATGTTCAAAGCCTAGCTTGCTCTCGTGGGCATTGCCGGTGCCGCTGTCATCACGATCGCGACTGCTAATACATTACCATCAGTAGTGGTTGTAGAAGTAGAAGTAGTGGCAAAAATTCTGGTAGCAACGACGCACGTACTGGTCGCAGTAGTCGCAGCCGTCGCAGTAGCAGTTGCAGCAGCAGTGGCAGTAGCGGTAGCAGCAGCAACAGCAGCAGCAGCAGCAACAGCAGCAGCAGAAGCAACAGCAGCAGACCAGCAACAGCAGCAGCAGCAGGAGCAGCAGGAGCAGGAGCAGCCGCAGCAGCAGCAGCAGCAGCAGGAGGAATAGTACGACCACAGCGCAGAAGTAGTCGTCGTAGTCGTAGTAGTAGTAGTAGTAGTAGCAGGAGGAGTAGCAGTAGCAGTAGCAGTAGCAGTAGCAGTAGCAGTAGCAGTAGCAGTAGCAGTAGCAGTAGCAGTAGCAGTAGCAGTTAGCAGTAGCATTAGCAGTAGCAGTAGTAGCAGTCGTAGTAGTAGTAGTAGTAGTAGTGCGCCATCATCATCATCGTCATGCTTATCATCGGCACTTTCATGACCAGGGTGTTCATCCAAAGCCAACGCGCATGTGTTTCAATTCGATTTCCAACCTGGCGTGGACCAAGAAGTAGGAACATCCCCGAAAAAGCCTTCCCCCAACCAATTTCGAGTTTTTCTGCGAACAATTCGAAACAGCGAAGTTTAATACGCATACTCCAGAAGTAGGGGTTCAGATTATGTAAGAAAGTCGGACATGACGAAAGTACTGTAAATACCGAGTAA